CCCCACGTACATTCTATTATAGACTGTTACTGGCCTAGAATTAATATTTCGAGTTTTAGGTTCAGCAAAGATCTTATAGAACTACAGGATACATGGGATACAGAGGATACAGGGGATATTTGCTCGATATAAGCGATACAGTGAATACAACAGATACAGAGGTATACAGGGGATACAACGGATACAGAGATATACAGGGAATACAACGGATACAGAGGTATACAGGGGATACAGGGGATACAAAAAGTCACAAAGAGATACAGAATTCCTGAGCCTGGATGTTTAACCAGTTTCAATAGCAAAAAGATGCAGAACTGACGTCTGACATCTTGGATTTTTATTAAATATATATTTTTTTAAATACCTGAGTCACTATCTGAACTTGAGTCTAGGAGAAGACTACAAGGACTAGCAGGAGGACTGGGGGTGGACGGAGCACTCGTCCTTGACTTAGCAGGTCCACTCGTCCATCCGCTAAACGGACTACCACCCTTCCCAGGACTATCCTTTCCTTTACGGTCCGCATCCGAACCCCTTTTAGTCCCACGAGCTATATCAGGGGTTCTGAGTTTAGTTGGTAACCCTAGCAGGGCTTCTTTGGCCTCTTGGAAGGGAGAGGTTGCCCGGCAGGGAGGGGAGGAGGCCGGAGGCAGGTTGGAGGGTGAAAAGGAGGCTGAGGAGGAGAACGGGTTGAGGGATGAGGAGGATGTAGAGAGAGGCGATGCCATGGGGGAGGTTGTGTAACTTAAAGGAGAGGTGGGTTGGCTCTGGGTGGCATCCTTTAGTATAGAAAACTTGTAATTGGGATTAAAAAAAACTGTTCTGTTCCCTAAGTAACCCAAACCCCTCCCTCACCCCCTTGAATGCTGATCCTAGAATTATTCTGTATTTTATTATCAAATATTTTGATGATATTCATGATAATTTCAATGCCAAGATGAAAAAGGTAAAATGTCAATAAAGGAACTGAACACTCGCCACAAATTCTAATTTTCTAATCCCTATATTTTGATGATATTCATGATAATTTCAATGCCAAGGTAAAAAAGGTAAAATGTAAATAAAGGAACTGAACACTAATTCTAATTTTCTAATCCCTATATTTTGATGATATTCATGATAATTTCAATGCCAAGATGGATAAGGTAAAATGTCAATAAAGGAACTGAACACTAATTCTAATTTTCTAATCCCTATATTTTGATGATATTCATGATAATTTCAATGCCAAGATGGATAAGGCAAAATGTCAATAAAGGAACTGAACACTAATTCTAATTTTCTAATCCCTATATTTTGATGATATTCATGATAATTTTAATGCCAAGATGGAAAAGGCAAAATGTCAATAAAGGAACTGAACACTAATTCTAATTTTCTAATCACTATATTTTCGAACCCTGATGTTGTAAAGCTTATAAATTTCAAACTGAGATCTTTTTATAACAAATTTTATATTTTGAAAATCATCAGGTTGCAGATTATAAATAAACGTTCGTAGCGAGTAATAAGTCCTTTTCGCAGGTTTTTACATTTCACAAAAGTATAAAAACTTTATTTTGCCATCGATCTCTTTAACACATTTTACAGTTGGATAGATGTAATACGAGCCTTGAAGGATAAAAATAGAAGAGACCTCACAACCTTCAAGATTTAACAGGAATTACGTCATAAAAATCAAATTAAAGGGAACGCTGACGGTATTTCAGGTGACCCTGCATGTCCGATTCACAACGGTAAAAAAAAAAGACCTTTGTCTGCACAAAGTCATTTTAGTTTTTCTTTCTAAAACCTGATCATTTTTAATTACGATTCTCTATAAATGTGATTTTAATCAGCAAAGACATTGATGATTTTTACTCAGTCATAACCAGAAAGAACCGGAATTAATTGAACGTTAATCAGACGACTTTACATATACCTCTGCTGTCAATTTTAAATTGTCAAATAAGGCAGACCACATTTTGGAAATGGCATGACTAAGGCTATTCTGTTATTATTGATTATTTTTCATCCATCATAATTCTAAAGTTAAGTTGTCAAGCTTCGAGTCTTTCTGATTAGGACTGTAGTTAATTCGATAAAAAGGCAGCGTTATGAATTAAACAGGCAACGCTTTAAATTGAGAGTAGCTAGGTAGACTGCCCCTTTAAGTTTTCTACATCCCTGGGAACAGTTCAGCCGAAGATTAGGGGTTTCTGATCTACTTGTAAACCTAAACACATCATCATAAATGATACCAGGATACCAGGATACCAGGGATACCAGGATACCAGGGATACCAAGATACAAAGATACCAGGATACAAGGATACCAGGATACCAGGATACAAGAATACCAAGGATACAAAGATACTTGTATACAAAGATACCAGGATACAAAGATACCAGGATACCAGGATACAAGAATACCAAGGATACAAAGATACTTGGATACTTGGATACAAAGATACCAGGATACAAAGATACCAGGATACAAAGATACNGGCATCCCTCTAAAAAGACGATAATAAATCAGTATCTTTAAACGGTTAAATCCCAATTCAAATCATGTATTTTAGTCAAACACAACTTGTTGTTAAGAGTCACCCCCCTCTTTTACTACACTTTGATGGCTGGGTCTGTAAAAGCTTTCCTCAATGGCATCTACTAATAGTTAACATGGGTTGAAGATAAAAAAGTAAGGATGAAGAGATAAAATTATTTAAAATTGCATTCTCATCATTCAAATGTAGAAATAGCGCAAAATTCGTTTTATTTATATAATTTTTTAAACAAACTTTGTAAAACATGCAGGATGTTTTACATATTACAATAAGCTTTAATAAACAATAGATCCATAGAGAGAAAATTTAAGATTGTTACATTTTACAGAGCCGGATAGGATTATTATCTAGAGCTAATCTTACTATAAATATAAAATTTAAGTCCCAGCCCGACCAAAGAATGGAATTACTTCTTATTATTATTAATAACAACAAACACTTCTGAACTTTTTATAAAAACAATGAACATACCAAATCATAAAATACAAAGTTCTGTTATTATCAATGTTTAAGATTAGGAGAATAACCCACTCCAAAAGTTAAAGGTAATTTCCTGAAGAACGATTTTTGGATCCCCCCCCCACCTTTTGATGTAACCTAACCCTAAATAAATTATTTATTAATTGAAAATTGTTGAAAAAGTGGTTATGTACAAAATTGATAGGAGGGGGTCCAAAAATCGTTCTCTAGGACAGATCCTGTAAATATACAAATCGCATTTCCTCTTTTTCCACTCTTTTAAGGGGGGGAGTATTCATTCTTCGAATCCTGTCTGCGCCCCTGCTTTATTGCCCCCACTTTTTTGTGAAAATTACTGTTTAAAAGTTTTAAATTTTCTCCAAAAAATTTTCTTATTAAATGTTAATTCCTTGTCTTTGCTATTCTTTCTCCTTTTCAGATCGTAGAACTTCATATTCACTAAACTCACTATATACGAAATAGTTAGATTTGAAACTTCTCGACACTAAATACTTTAAACGTAACTTTCACGTCGCCGGGTACAGTCAATTGTAACGATCACTAAATTTATTTCAATTCTTTCAATCCGATCGATTTTTTTAAAGCAGCGCGTAACTTAAATTGTGTGTGAAAGCTTCTCTCAAATTTGAAGCTCCATAGTGATTTGTTCAATCAACTCTAGCAGACTAATTCAGAACGAAGTTCGAACGTGCACTGCACACTTGTGGGGAAGAGAGTTGCGCCGCGCTCCCCTAAGGCAGGCACAGTATACGAAAGATAGATAGATAGTATAAGCGGAAATCAGCTGATCGCTAGCAGACGGAAAGCTTATCGACGTGTGTGTGTGTCTGTGTCCGTACTTTGTATATCTAACTGTTTAAAGCCTGTAGGCCGTTGAAAGTTTAATGGCAAAAAAACGGAAGAAAGAGGGGGATGACCCCTTGTAAAACTTAAAATTATGTAAGTTATACTAGCTTGGGAACCCGGCTCTGCCCATGGGTACTCATTATCAGGCGCGCAACTAGACATTTGGTTAGGGGGGGGCTAGGTGGAAATATTTCGCGCGAAGCGCGAAAAATTTTTTTGGCCCCCCCCTTAACATTTTTAGGGGGGGGCAAGAAAAATGTGTGTTATACTTAAACAATAAAAAACTAACCTTTCCAACCTGATATTCAGTAAGTCAACACATCTGATATGAAATAAAACAAGAAATCTATTCTGGTCAGGGGCGGATACAGGGGGGGAGGCGGAGGAATTCGCCCCCCCCTGAATTTGGAATTTTTTGTTCCTATTTTCAGAATAGCTTCTATAATAGCATGGTTAATTGGGAAAGAAACCCTAGTGCAAAACAGGAAAAATATCTGTCTTGATAAACTATAATGTGTGAAAAGTTAAAAATCTAGTTTTTTAGTCTTTTGTCATTAATTTTCACTCTTTTTGAGTCTTTTAAGTCAAAAAAAATTTTCGCCTGTACCGCGATTTTTGGTTCCTAATTA